CAGTAACACACAGTCGATTTGCACGTTACTCTGTCTACAGTAAAACAAGCAAGCACATGCAACGTGATGATATTGCTGAAAATGAAATAAATGAGCTCTCCTTTTCCTGTATTACCCATAACGCCTTTATCAAACGTAAACATGGCTTCCAGCAAAATTTTCTTATCTGCTTAAACATCAGTTCTATATAAAACTATGAAAATTTTCAGCATTTGAATACGCTTTCTTTTATCGTACGGACAGTTTGACGAAATCATGAATTAGGCGATCAACATAAAAGCCAGAGAATCTTTCACACAACCTTTCATATTAGAGCAGTAAACCACCTGTCAGTTAAATCAAATCGGGAATGTTGCCTACATTACTCTCCCTGTGGCGATTTGACAGTTATTTAAGAGCTCTCATACCGACGGTGCGGGGGTCGATTCTGCTCGATGGCAATCATTTTCTTACTTACAAATTCCCTTGAACAAAAAATTGACCACACATTGCTTCAGACTGGGGTTTCTTAGTCGGTAGGGCTTCAGATTCCTAAACAATAGGTCCTGAGTTCAAGCCCCGCTGGGGTCACTCGTCCTTCTTCGTCCGAGATTAATAAATGAGTACCACAGTGAGAGAAGGAACAGGAGACTACATGCTACGTTTGTCAAATGGCTGTAAACTTTGCCGCACAAAAAGGCACTCCTGGCACAGAAATATAGACGAGCACGGCACATCAGCTTCATGAAAAGAAAGGGGCTAAATGGACCAGTCGTGAAAGTGAAGGAGCGACACTTTCTCAGTCTTGCGGCACTGTGCCAAGACGTCAACTTCGAACTCTGACAACAGGTAATGTGGGTTCGTTTCGAGCAAAGTCCAATGTTTGTTAAATCCATGAATTCTCCTGAACAGGTTATTAACTAAACTTTACTTCGGATCAGGGCTACTCGGATGGTAGACCGCCATGCTCAGAACCGACTTTTCCGTTACGGCCATTCGCCTTTCTTCCTTCCGAGGACTATAGATGGCTACCATTTATTGCGAAGGCACAGTAAGATGCACACTCTGCCAGTCAAGAGCTGCCAACTGTACTTTTTTAAAACAAGGCACGCCTGGCTGATCACGTAACGGAAATCAACATTCCATCACTTGCCTGATTAAAGAAAGGCACCAGAGATGGACTCATCATGAAACTCTAACGAAGGCCAAAATTTCAATAGTTACAAAGCTTCCCTCCCGTTTCGACGAAGTGTCGTAATTGGTCTAACCTTCATTTACTGGACAAAACGACAGCATTAGTGTCACAAGGGTGAATTTGTGAATGTCTTACCAAAATGAAACGTATGAGAAACAACCTGCTTATTCTGGCTCTGCCGGCATGACTCGTCTCAAGTCCTGAAACGCATTCCCTACAAGCATCTGCGGGCAACATCAGAAAAATCGCACTTCGTTCACCACTGATGCTGTAAGCCTGCAGGCAATTATCATTTGTGTAGGGGCAACGGAGATTTTAAGTACCACCCCGTGCGCTCTTTCACAAATGTTACCACAGCATTTCATACAATGCAGTGCAAGGACCCCAAAGGAAGCTTCATCCAATCTTAGCGCTGGTTTAAATATAAATTTTGAATATTTATTGCATTCAAATGTATTTAGATTTTATAGCATAATTTTACATCAGAATTAAGGGGTTTAGAAGCTTTTGTTGACTTTGAAGCAAGATCCGCAATAACTTTTCATCTCAGGTTAGCGAATCAAGTATGGAGTAAATGAACCTTGGATACGTTACCTTATGTTTAGATTACGAACCATAATCCACACGAGTAACGTGATTTAAGATGATGATGGAAGGGACGTATTTTTAAGCACAGAATGTGGGTAAACGGAAAAGGTCAAACGCAATGGTGGTGGCATAAACGCTGCAACTGTTGTGGATGAGGTTTGCCGGCTGTGGTGACTAAAACAACCAGGTAATTTCTATGGTGTCTATGCATCCCGAATCTTGCCCAATGAGAAAAAATAAATCCCATTTGCGAGAGCGTGCTAAAATACCGTATGCGGGTTTCACAAGATGTACCGCGGGACTCAAGATATTGACGATATTTTCAACGTGCTGAAACCTGCTGGCACTTCATTGCATGGCTATTTTTCAATCTTTCCGTAATATGGAACCGGGTAACTTGCGACAATACTCAAACTGCACGGAAGATTCAGATATAAGCGTAATTTATCGGCCTACCTCTGTGAATAAATGCAAATATTTTTTGCTGCACTTCCTGACCACCTATGAAAACAGCTCAGCTGAAAAACGATTAACATTTTAAAACCGGCTACAGCGGCAAGGGAAACCGCAAAGATGAACACAGCAGAGAAAAAACCAGGTCTTTTAAGTCAACACAGCGGGAATCATATTAGCCGAAGGCATTGCATCCTATCCTTTGTATCGATCTTCAGCCAACCCCCTAAGAAAGTTTAAAAGTACCATTATCTTTCACAAACTTTGACATGAACTCGATACCTACTACGGCTCATCCAAACGGAAGGAAACCTGTCCAAATTTGACTTAACCCTGAGATGTAAAATCGATGCGGATCTATCTTTAGACTGACAGTGGCCGCGTACTCCATCTCCAGTTTATAAAAACTTTCATAGTATAAATTTTAACATATTTGAGCGAAATAATTAAAATTTAACTTGAACCAGATGATTTGATTCTCATTTTTAAGAACTACTGGTTCTGAAAAAATCACGCTTTCAAAAAACAGCAGCTCATTTTTCACATACTTGACCTGAAATTTTTTATGGCAAGGAGTTAAACAACGGTTCTAAACATTTTTATGAATAACAAGGTACATTTACCATTAAAATCAAGACATGTATTTTACTAATTCAGAAGGGTTGAACAAATGGCATCATTTACGACAGCAGATTTGCGCAACCAGAAGCGATATCCATGAAACGATTATTTCAAGCACAATCTCAACAATAGGCGGTACCACACTTTATACCATTCATTAATTGCACTGAAAAACCTAAAGAGGCATTTCTATCATCTATTACACGATCATAGACTAATTGATAAATTTAAAGAACCGTCTATAATTACTGTACTTCAATACGCCAAAGATTTGAAAATATTGAATATTATTAACTGAACGAATATTATTTTCCGTCGCAATACACTAAGACTAATTTACCTCGCATAATAGCAGTTTTATCCCACAATCTGTAATGCGTAACGGAATTTCCTATAGTCTCAGAACGAAAAACTGCTGAACAATTTCTTCAAGAAGACGATAACGATGCAACAGGAGAGGACTCGGCTTCTTTCTCTAGAAGTGCAGAGTCAAAACACTTAGCGCAGAATTGAACCTACTGTAATTAACGGCTATTTCCTTGGAACAATCGATTATCCTATTCCTTCGGTACAATCAGTCAAGAGAAGGGAAGCAAGACATTAACTAGTGACTAATATTGAATGGTGTTCATCCGAGAACTTGCGATGCATTGGGTCATGCTACCTGACGCAAGTCTTACGTCTGCAATTCGTTTTGACTCATCTAGCGGATGACTAAACATCAGCAAAAGTTGCAAACGGTAAAATACAGTATTGTAGTATATAGCAAATATAGTACAGTAAATAGCGGAACTTTCAGAGAAAGTATCAAAGGAAGAAAAGAAGTACTTATTTAAACTTAATTCACAATTTAATTAAACCAATCAACAGCAGTAGAGATCTTTCATTCCTCAATTAATCTATAACGGACTTACAAGCGAGCGACCACTGCTCAATCATGAACATTCTGCATTTCGTGGTGCTGAACCAAGAATAGTTCAGATTAAGCTTGGTGTATTTATCCCCCACATTTGGATGACGAGTTTCTTGGCACATGAGAAAATAAAAAAGACTGGGGCTGGGTACAAACAGAAAATATCTTACTTCGAAATGGGAAATGAGCAACAGTAAATATGGTGCTTCGATTAGATAATGATTGTGCAGGTGTCAGAAAGGTTCCGAACAAAGTACCATATATTTGGATTTTTACGACTTGCAAGTACACAAGACAATGCAATATAAGACACGCCGAAACCCTGCGTTTAAAACTTTCCGACAACAAACAACCGCTTCTCTAATCCACACAAAGAACTGTTTAAGTAAGATTTTAGTATTTATCTTTATCTGGCGCTTACTGATGTAGATTGCTTCCAAAATGGTATAACCAGAAATACCACTTATAACGGATACTGACAAGAAATGTCGAAAAATTTGAGTACAAAGGAGTAGCACAGGCGAGAAACCAATTGAGCAAACTGTCATGCTACTGCATAAAATTAATTACTTAGGGGCATCCTACTTTAAGATCTCATCCGAATGAAACTATTTTTTCGTTTCACTAGAAACTTGTAAAATCTTTTAAAAATGTGGTCAAGGTGATAAACAGTCATATGACAGTGACGTTGCAAACGGCAAAATTGCGCATAGAGGTAACAACAGTTTTGCGATGCTCCGCATATAGACTGCGTGGTCGGAAATTTCAGCTTTGTAAACAAACATTTTTTACACATAAATAAATAAAAATAAGGGCATAAATAATGTCCACTCACTAGTCATGATCTCTTAGTGAAAATGTGTTGAGGGTGAACGTTTCATTCATACCAAACGCACAAAATATGTTTGTTCAAAATATCCCAGAGCAGATTTAATCTAAAACCTACCCAGTTGCTGTAAAATTCACTTCAGCGGTAATCGCCATGAAAAAACTCATGCAGACAACAGAAGCTTTTAAGTATTTTATGGTTTAGTTTTCATTTACAGGCTTATACCACTTTTAATCCTAAATGACTTTAGTATTAACGACAGTCTTGCATTATGAACCGATCAAAATTCGTGAGCATTTTCGGTGTGCATCCGCGACCTGAATGTCGAAAACCCTGCGAATTCAGACTAACCACAAATCAGGCATTCAAGTTAAGTTCTTCCAACAATTCATGCGAATTCATACCAACTACAAATCAGGCATCCAAATTAAGTTCTTTCAGCAATTCATTTATGATATCCAACTTTTCCTGCGCCTCGAAGAAATTTTTAGCCGTGAAGTGCCACCGGATATTATCAATAATATCAATGGTGTCGACGTCCTCCCTTCGTTGAAGGCTTTCCGAGTCTTGCAGCACCAACTCTCTGAATTCCCTGTCGTTCACAATCTAATACAAAAAAGCAAGAATAAAACCATTTCAAATGTCTAACGGGCATTGACAGAACAGATATAGAAACAAGCTGCAAAATCATGACAAGGAAAAGGGGTGAAAAATTCTTCAAATCAACAATGCACCTTTTTTCAAGTTAGCAGTATTTCATCGAACGATCTCCGGTGGTCACTTACAGTATTTCAGCACAAAAAATGAACATTTACGGGTCCTGCATGGAATTTTACATTTATCTGAAGCAACAATATTCAAACATGTCCTTAGCGAAATACATTGTCTTGGCCTTTGTTTCCCACACGGCCATTGCATAGCATTCTTATTTCTTCATACGCTTAAGCTACATACTCTGCAACTTTCTACAGTGCCGTATTTATAGCAGCTACTATTCGCAGGTGCCCTTTAAAATATACTTCCAGATTACATCCCCGACACAAACCATGACATATGTAGACGACATATACATAAAGCGTAAAAACGTTAATTTTTATGGTATATTCATACCAACTTTCTGGCATATGAGCATCATATGGGCCTTCATCAAGTTAAATGTTATGCTAAAGTCTGGTTATGCCAGACAGGCTTTCTATGTCATAGCAAGAACCAACAGCTTGCCTCTTGACTGACAGAATCCGCTGTTGCCGACGACCTCAGCGACACCCTAAATTCGTTACCACGCCTACTGTTGAAAGGAAAGTTTATTGCCGTTTGAATACCGGTCATGACTGAACCATTTTGGCGCCCTTTCTCATAAGCCTGTTGGTGCGGTGCTGATATCCGTTTCTATGTCATCAGCCAGGAGTACATTATTTTAAATGCAGAGTCGAGAGCCATATAACAAGCGTAGCGCATAATTTACTGTTTCCTTCCCATAGAGTGGTACTCATTTATCAAACTAAGATAGAAGGCGGGTGACCCTGACTTGGGCCTAAATTTGAGAGCAATCGGTTCTGAATCCAACGCTCTGCTCACTCAGCAACCTTGGTATTAAGCTAAATGTGGTAAATTCCTTGCTCAATTGAATTTGTGAATACGACAAAGATTGCCTTCGAGGGATTCGAACCAGCCTACTTCCGGAGTTCGAAGCAGACATTTAACCCACTGTACCAACACGTCACGCTTATTATCAAAAAAGTCGCGAATTACTGTATTGCATAAGAACTTAAAATTAGTCCCTGTATTACAGAAATACTAGCTATGAATTGCTAATTTTCGATGCCATCGGTAAGAATGGTAATATACTATCACTCCTACGGGTTCAAACGGCGCAGTCTCAAATGCGGTATCGAAAACTAGCAGTTTGCTAGTAAACCCATAATACCAGGATTAATTATTACATGCAATGAAGAAAGGTACAATCGTTTGTATTCGAACAGCCTTCTTCACCCAACAAAGTGGCACGTTATGAGCCAGTGTATTGCAGGTCTCAAAATAGCATGGAGCAGGGACCTGCATTTTAAATGGTTGTCTAAAATTTTAGAAGCAAGGGGACGACGCGACTAAGTAGTGTAAATTCGTAGAACAGGAGAAAAGTAAA